ACACACACACACACACACACACACACACACACACACACTGTACTGGCAATTTGGAGACACTGTCACCTACCCACGTGTCTTTGGGCTACTGGAGGAAGCCCAGGCACCCAGACGAAATCCTCAGCACCACAGGGAGAATGTGCAGAGTCCACACACACCCACCATCCCGGGTGCGAGGCAGCAACGAGCCACTGAGTCACTATGCAACCCCCACATGGAACAAGCAAAACAAAAAAAACATATAAAAGCATAAAAAAATGTTCCCATGTGGTTAAAGTTGATAATAGTTCTAATAGCAGTGAACGGCACTGGAAGAGATGCCATTAAAACTGCTGTGAAGAACTGGGGTTAGAATTAAGTATTTAAAAGTATGAAAGTGTATAATGTCCGAATAACATTTTTCAGTACAGGTAATAAAATATTATTTAACCCTGCTAACTAAAACTTCATCCTACTGTTTGAGTTTAGGTTCACATGATGACAAAAATCAGTGAGTTTGGTAGGACCCCTACCTGATTGTACCTAATATGGTGCTGTTGAGAATAGTTGTAAGATCACATTTTGATCACTTTGTTTTTCTTGCCCAACTACTTTACACAAAGATTCAACACCACCGTTTGCGATTCAGGGTTATCTTCAATCCGCCAGAGACAGTGAGGTCCACGCGAGTGACGTGCACTCGGAGTTATAATGCACTTTAATCCATTTCTGTAAGTCCCAAGCTTTTAACAAGGATGTGTGATGATACATTATTATTACGCAAATACAAAAAGTAAGATGAGAGATATTAGAACAGGATAGGAATCAGAAGCTCCATAGTATGGAGAAAATAAACCGTAGGGGTTAAAGGTCAACTGGCCATCCAGCTTCCTAGGGTGCGCTGATATAATAGAATGCAAAGAAAATGATTGTGTTTCTATCGGTGTAAGGTACGAACTGCGGTCCGTCAATGAGCCACGGCCCGTCAATGAGCCACGCAGATCTTGGTAAGCTAGCAGACTGCAGGCTGTATCGACAATGTCAGACTTGGATCCATAAAACAGCGCCTCAGTGCTGGCATCAGTTATTATTATTATTAATAATATTATTATTAAAATATCAATTACAGCTCTAGTTAAAGCTGTATCATTGCGGTTTCCCTGACAGAAACCAGACTAGAATATTACTTGTATCTAACTATGATTGAACTTGCACAGAAACTATTTTGGACAGAAAATGGAGGGTTGAGATAGGTCTGTAATGTTCAGTACCTGTGTGTCCAAGATCGCTTTCATCAGTAGTGCTTTAATTTGGTTAGTAATAACACCTGCAGGCTGATGTATATTCATTATAAAAATTGCAAGTTCTCTCAGAACTTTAAGAAACTCTAAATAATTAAGAGGGAATTTTATTTCATAGGTAGGTTTTGTTTTAGCTCTGAGTGGTTTTTTCTCGTGTACTTCAACTAATTCAAAGACACTAAGGAGATATGTATACTATGTAACAGACATTTGTGGGGTCTTTGTGTTTGAAGTCTGATGTCGCTATTTTTATTGTTATAGACGTCCATGAAATGATCACTACGAATATTAACTGGTAAATCGGATATTTTGTTGTCTTTATAAGGTTTGAGTAGTAGGGTTAACAACAGAGAACCTACACAGAGGTTTTCTTTTATTGTTGTGTTAATATTAATTATTCCAAAACCAAAGCTGTGTTTTACAAGACTGCATATGTGATTTATCAAGGCTACATATACAACTACATGTATTTGATTTATTAAGGCTAAATTACCCTCACTTGTCAACCACTGTCCACTGAATTTTCAGTGTCCACTTGATTACTAGTTGAAATTGAAGATTTTTAATTAATGGTCACGATCAGCAGTTCATAACAATTTCACTTCCACTTTTCATTCCGTTTGTATGAAGTAGATCTTTCTGCATTCCTTGAAGGCTTTCTGTGCCCTGCCTTTGACTGTAGACTGCAGGCTATGATCTAGATTTGCCTGTGACCTTGGTCCACTCTGAGTGACTAAGCTCCATTCTCACCATGATATAAAAATTGAAAACCTTTAGATTTAGGGGAAAAAAAAAACACTCAAAATCAATGACCAAAAACATGTTTTGCCAATTGAATGAGTACGACATGCTATAATGGAGCCATATAATGAAGCCGTAATGGATTTACAAGTTGGCAATTAAAACAACATAAAGGCAGCCCCTAGAGAGTGACGTGGTGGAGCAGTTAGATTTAATGTACATGCGATGACAAGAACTGAAAAATCGCAGTTTAATTACAGTTTGGTTGAACAGAATCATCAAGTAATGCTTTAAAAACAATCTAGCCAAAGAAGTAGGCCTAGGTGTTTGAGTATGTATACACCGATAATCTTCCCGAAACTTTCAGAAATGCAATAATGCTTGTGCTATTGAATTGTACCGGATGACGGAGAGGGAGCCGTCTGTGGTGTCGTGGCAACGGTCGTCATGTGACATGGCCACCTTACAGGAAGACGCTTTGATCTTGTACTGTTCTATATGCAGCGGTTCAGCGTTTGCTCTTTTTTTTAAGGGTTATTTATGTGACATGATGCGTGAACGATGTGTGAAAAAGAACACAGTGCAAAGGTGCCTTTTTTTTTGTTTGGCCGAGTAGCCTTTCATAATGCCGCTGGATGGGAGATACAATGTTGGCATAAGGGATGTGAGTCAGAATGTCCCGGCTTGCATGATGCAACTCGTCACTAGCCCCCCCCCTGTGGCTCTCCATGCCCATACTGACTCCCCCGCTGTCCCCTTGCTCTGCCTGCACTGTGCAGGGGGGCCTGACTGTAAAACACCACACTAGACTGTGTTGCTCTCTTGCTCTCAGTGGAAAAAAAGCAAAAAAGTAAGTAAAAAGCATCAAGTTCCAACAGTATTTTGCAAAAGTCAAAAAGTGTTATGGGTAATAAGTGTATTTTTAATCAACAAAAATGCTATGTAACACTAAAATATATGCCAATGAACAGTAACACAATAAAAACTAACATGAATGTATTCAGCTCTCTACGGAAGCCCGGAACGGTCATGCTTGCAGCTATTTTTTTAATGCCATTTTCTCAAGATAACGAGATAATTCAGCGGCGCGTAAGCCACGTGTTTTAAAAGGACTTGCAGCTTATATTTGCTTCAGTTTACATTGGTATCTAAGGGTTGCTCTGTATGTCTGTCATTGTGTAGATGGAATAATGATTCAGACTATTTGGTTAGATTTGAATGCGGATGTGAAGTTTTGTTTATATGAAATTTCAGTATTTTTTAATATATCATCTACACATGTTGCGTACAGTGACCATAGTGTAATTTAGAGACAGCAATTCATGGTAAAACGCTACACGGGAACAACACTTAATTTCAGTGTTAAATACACGGATGCACACACTAACACAGCTACAGTACATACGCGAGCAACGCTGCGTGCGGCATGGTGGCCCCTTGGCATCGCAATATGTTTATCCTCATAATTATTCAGAGAAAATTACAAATAAGATTTATCTCGAGGTAACAGCGTTAAAAAAATAACTGCAGGCACAGCTGTTCTCGGCTTCCGTAGCGCTCCAAAAAGTTACTGCTGGATGGCTAGAACACTGCTTCGGTTCCCAAACCTCTCTTCAGGGGAACATATTTGCGATATTTTTCTCGGGCCCAGCAGTTTTGCTGCTATTTCTCTATCCTATACTCTGACTCTGTACTCAACTGGAAACAAAATCTGGATTTTTACTTTCTGGACTTGGAAATTTCCACCTCTGTAGTTTTCATATCTGACTGAGCACGTCGGCTTTACCACTGACCACCATCAGCTGCCATATCTTGTCAATCTGTTTCCTTCCCCAGATGGAATGTTAGAACTTGCCATACACAAGGTGGCACTCAAGCCAGTTTGCGCCTGCCTGTACGCCTCTCTTCAAGACTACCGTGATCGGGACGGCTTCATTGAGCGCCTAAAGCAGAACCAGCACACAATGGAGGGGCAGAAACCAGAAGAGCTTGGAGGAGCCATGGGCGTAGGACTTCCGGATGCCATGGTTCTGGAGAAAATTCAGCAGCGCTGGGACTCCATGCATGAGGCCTACTCGCCCAGCAAGAAAGTGCAGATTCTGCTCAAGGTCTGCAAAACCATCTACCACAGCATGAACACCAACTCCACTCCAGGTTGGTAGGAAAGCTGAGTGCAGATATGTGGCGCCCCCTAGCTGCAGAGGGGGTGGTCAGTTATTGATGCAATACAATCCAATACAACTCATAGCCAAATCTGTACACAGTGATGCGATCCTTCTGATGGTAAAGTTAAATTAAATTACTTTGAAAAGCTGTAATTATATAAGTTCATGGAAAAATTATAGTCATATTAATACCAAATATACATATGGTAAAGCAGGTGTATAATATTACAGGTAAACATAAAAATACATATAGTATTGCTGAAATGTGATAAATGGTTTTGTTTTAGTCGTCGTAATATTTCCAGCTCATACCAGTTTGAAGTGGGACAAATACCACTGGTTTAGTTCCCTAAACTGTTCCACACATGCTCAGTGAGCTTGGGATCTGGTCACTGAGAGGGCAGCGAGAGATTAATCTTCTTCTCAAGCTGCCAATCCTCATGTCGTGCTCTGCATGTAAACACGCCGTCGTTATCAGACTCGCCCCAGCCAGTGGAGCCAAAGTGCCACATCACTGCGCTCCTTGGGCTATAATTGCAAAATCACCTTTTTGTTGTTGTGACCGGCACGGTAAAGCACGACTGTGACCGTTACGCAGCCCTTCGCTCTTCTGACATCCAGCACCTACGCACTTTTCACAGCTACAGAAGAGTGTCAGTCGGGGTAACTCGGCTTTGGCGTTCGGCCTGGCCGAGACAGCTTTCATACGTGCAGATGCATGCCGCCATCATGCAGTAACATTAACCCTCGAAATCACGTTTTTATCTCCTGTTGCTTCCCACCATGCAGATCCACGTAATCCTGTAAGATGACTTACGGCAGTTTTTCCCAAAACAGCCCTCTGGGACCCCCATACAGTCCACATTTTAAGACAAAATCTTGTATGTAAGACATACAAGATTATAGCATAGGTTTCCTTTAGCTTGGAAGGCTGAAAAAAATATTTGTGTATGAATAAAAATCCCTTAGAGATTGTTAGTATTAATTAAATTATCCCATAGTTTTTGTATTATGTGTGATCAGTGGCCTGTACTACGGTTACTGGTTTATCGGGGTAACTTGTCGGATTTAAGGTAGTCTGGGCAAAATGTAAGTGAACGAATATGAAGTCCATTTAAACTGTGGTACCTTAAATCCGACAAGTTACCCCGATAAACCAGTCACCCTGCTTCGTAGTACAGGCCCCCGATGACAGATTGGGAGCGGCATATTGTACTGCAGCTCTCCTCTGTGCTGTAGCTTGGTACCACAGAGCTCTGTCTGTGATACCAAGGGAAGCATCAAGAGTGCTGGTGACTGCATCGACAGAAGATAAACGACCAGAGGGACTTTATAAATACAGCTGTGAATTTCTCACGGCAAGTATCCAGTAGCCAAGGAGGGAATGATGAGGAGGATGATGATGATGATAAATACAGTCAATAAGGACAGAGTTACTTTAATAATTGATGGTCAGATGGAAGTGTATTGGGGGGAGAGACTGTTCGTCTTTTTCTCGAACTCAGTTAACATCCTGTTGAGTTCAGGCTGTCCCTTCCCCCCCCCACACAGGAGCAGTGTATGGGGCAGACGACTTCCTACCATGCCTCACTTGGGTGGTACTGCACAGTAACATCTCCACCCTGCAGCTGGATACAGACTACATGATGGAGCTGCTAGACCCCATGCTGCTACAGGGAGAGGGTAAGCCTCATCTTCACAACACACTGTGGAATCGCAAGACGCCTCCTATTGACCTGGAGGACCAATTACAACTGGAGTATACTGGAAATTGTTAATCAACAACTGCCATCAGTGTTACTCAAACTGACTGTCAAACTGCAGGTTTGAATGTGTCTGTAAAGGATTATGCCTGTTAAAGCAGCGTCTCATTGGCGAGCCTTTCATGAATATTAGCTTGTGAAATAACTTCAGAGTCAAATCGCTTATCTTAGATAATAGAAACAGTAGAGCAAACAATCGCACGAACAGAACATGGCTGTTAGTTTTAATATAAAAGATCACCATATATATTCTGGGATGTAGAGCTAGTTGTTAACATGTACAGATATTTACAGGAAAATACATAAAAGTTTTTTATATACACACAACTATTTATATATACATAATTTTCATATTATTATGTCTACTGGTGTTTGAAAAAGTATGATTATTTGTCCAGCCTCCTCAATATGCAGTTGCTTAATATCTAAGATATTCATTTTTTTAAATCCACGGTTGTTTCAGAATCAGAATTCACTTTATTGGCCAGATGTAGCTACATGGTGCACTCAAAGACAACGCAGAAGTTCAAATTAAAATTACATAGAGGCTTTAAAAACATAAGCCGTAATTGCATAGAAGTACAAAACACAGTCAGGAAAATGGTATGTGAAAAAAATGCAACGTGCTTGAGTATAACTAGTTAGTTTCAATAAAAATGTGGAATCCTGGACCTTATTCTGGGTAGGCAGGGTAGCTCTACGCAGCACAGTTATTACCAACACTAACATCCCGTTTTACTGGCTTTCTCTTTCCCCTGCTTGCAGGTGGTTATTATCTGACATCACTTTACGGCTCGCTGTTCCACATCAGCAGCTTCCGGCCTCGCTTGGCAGCCCGCCAGCTCAGCACCGAGGCCCAGCATTCCCTGAGCCAATGGCATCGCAGGAGAACTCTGCACTGCAACCGCTCACGAAGAACCGGGAACAGGAGGACTATCCGGAGGCCTGCCTCCAGAGAGGTGGAGGCGGAGTCACAGGATGGGGCGAAATTGTCGGACTGTAGCGGGGAAGGCAGTGCTGCGGAATTGCCCTCTTTGAGTGGAGAAGAGACGTGTGAAACATCTAAAGAGATTCTGGGGCTTCTCCGAGAAGAAGACGACAGCTGGGATGAGGCTCCCGGTGAGGTGAGGTGGGGGTGTGACAGGTTATCAGAGGAGGGTGGTGATCCCCAGCAAAGCGCTGAAGCCCCAGAGACTTTGAGGGAGAAACCCACCGGAAGTCCGAAAAAGGAGAAAGAGCGGCCGCACAGTGAGCTCAGGTCCCGCGACGTGCTCTGGACTGTGCCGGAGGACATAAGCGCCGGTCAGCTTGACAAAAACAAGGTGACCCTTGACCCAGATCGCTGGATCGATGGAGAGCAAAAAGCATCCAAGCTAGCTACCAAATGTCTGTATTCTGCATAGCTGAGGGCAAATCCTGGGGGAGGATTCTGACCCAAAGGAGGATTTACAGTACACCTAAGGAATCTGTTAGGAATGGTACAGCGTTCATTATTGATGTTATATTCCACATACATTATAGTACACATGCAGTAAACATGAGTGTGTTTGACAATTCTGCTACTCCCTGGTCCTGCATTATTTCAGTTCGTGAGCATTCATTTATTAAAATGAATGAGTATTTTTAAAGCGTTTGAGCAGAATTACTGCAGGATTACTGTTCCCCTTGAAAGAGGACTCATTGAAGGGGTTTGATGGGCACTCTCTATGCTCTCTGGCCAGTGTTTGTGGCTTTCCATCACATTGTATGGGTTTTGCAGAAATACTGGTAACACAAATGCTGATCTGTGATTTCTCCTTTTCCTTTGTAGTACAAGGATTGACAATGCCAAAAAGTGAAACCGATTTGTTGTCGTATTCTGACTTTTTGTTTGAAATTACATTCAAAAGCTTGAACTTCCTGTATATTGTTTTCAAAGACCTTGCATCAGTTGTGAAAAACAATGATAATCTTTCAATCTGCGCAGCTTCTCATCCTCATCAAAGCAAAAGCACAATAGCCACATAATACAAAATAAGTTAATTACAAGCTTAATTTTCAGCTCCAACACAAATTTTAAGACGTCTTTTGTAGAACCGAAAATCTTTTTATGAAATGGCATTGACTTACTGGTTTTTATTTAAATCATCTGGTCTCGTATTAACAGGCTGAAGAGTATTTTATCATCTGACTACCGTCAGAGCTGATTTATTTTGAAAGGCACAGTTGCAGCGATTGCATAATAAAGTGGTTCATTACCTCTTAATTACAGGCTAAACAAACTGTGTGTGTTTCGTTGTCTTCGTGGTGCTTGTTGGCTCGCAGACTGTTGAAAACAGGAGCGTGATTCGTTATTTCTGTCATTGCTTTACATGAAGCCTTCCATTCGGAACTGTCATATAATTAGCAATTCCACTTGGGCGTACGGCTGGAATGATTTTTTTTGAGGGTGTCATAAGTTATATATGACACACTGTGACTAATCTCTGTCGATCAGTCAAAGAAGCTATACAGGTAGGTTACAATCTTAAGTTTGTCTCATGAGACTCAATAAAAGACTTTTAAATAAGAAATGGAACATGGAAAGAATCACAATAATACATCACTAACACACAGGACTAGCATTCAGTAATGTTACCTAGGAAGAATTTCAGTTCTTCATTGCCTCAGAACGATGATGTAATACCAGATTATTCAGAAAGTGGCCAGAGACCGACACACGCACCTTTTTTGTTGGGTCATGCCTGCAAGGAACAATTTCAAGAGCTCAAGTGGTCAAGAAGCTGAAGTTGCAGCTATTCTGTGAGACTTAAGGCTACAATACAGGACAAACACCCAGCCTGGGCTGGGCAGGAAGCTAGAGTACTTGGTAACAGTGACATGACAAAGTTAGAAGTGAGAGGTCACTTTTACCAAGAGTGAGTTTAAAAAAAAAACAGTTTTGTTTTCTTGTTTACACTAATTCAGTAATTATTAAGCTTTAAAAGAAATTATTTTGCTGTAAAGTGATTCAGTCCTTTGTTAAATTAAATAATGATGCATTTAACACAGTCTTAGCAATATGCTTTGCAAAAAAATGAATATGACGTGACTGCAGATAAACTTACCTGGCAGGGAGGCTCACGAAGGAGGGTCACCCAGTGAGGCTCTGACGCTGAACTGAAATCACCCAAAGGTGAGAAGCTCAACTAGATAAATCCTGGTAGCAGGGGACTGCATTTGCACCCTCCCGTGCTCCGTTTTGCGTCAGGCCTCTGCGCCTGCGATCGGAAGGTTGCCGGTTCGAGTCTCATCCTTGGCAGAATAATCACATGTACGTTGGGCCTTTGACCAAAGCCCCTAATTCCCAGAAATGCTCCAGATGCACCAGAAAAAATGCGTTGACCATGTCCTCGAACCCAAAGCTTTGCTCTCAACTGTACATATATGTGTATGTAAAAGGGAAGAAGATGGTTTATGCAGAAATTCTAATGTACCTGTATTGTGCATATGGCAAATAAAGCATCATTTCGCTAAACCTTAAGTATTTGAAATGTTTAAAGTTTCTCTAAAAGGTCAAGGAAAGCAAGCATGAGTATAAGGGAAACACAGCAGAGCCGGCACTGTAAGGTTCCTAAAGGAAGCCGGCTGGTGAAATCAGGTCGGCCTGTAGCTCGAGGTTGAAATTAGCCTAATTAGCACGTCCTTGGACTATTGGGGGAAATCCACGCAGTTTGTTTTTATATAAAACTGAGGTTATACAAATGAGGACCTTTAAAAAATGTCACCAAAAGTAAGGAAGGTTCAGGTTTTACCACACTTTGGGGACACTGTGGTCTCCAAATGTGATCTATGCAAACCCACACATACACAGCTGAGTCTACCCACCAACCTTGGAGGTGGGACGTAATTGCTACTCACTGAGTCATGTGCAACTCAAATGATGGTAAAAAGATAATACAGGCACTCACCCGGTCAAGAGCGTCCTACATACGGATATCTCGTACTTACGAACGGACAAGCATTACGCTTATTATAATAAAAAATTTAGTTAAATGCAATGGATCGTAATAACGAACGCATGCACTACTTTGTGATGCTCGTGAAAACAGCGCGCGGTTTCAAACGTTCGTCGGCTCGAGGTACAGTGCAGTACCGTATGTTGTTACTTTTGTGATTTCTGCATTATTGTGTACTGAGTTATTTTTCCGACTTACCTACAAATTTGACCTGAAGACAAACTCAGGGAACGGGCCTGCCTGTTATACAGAATTGCATGTACCCATCACAGTGGATTAGAAGCTTTAGTAATACCCTCCTGGTTGAAAAACTAATCTTTTTAGGGTAAGTTTTCACCGAGTCATTTAAAAATCCCTGCCTCAGCAGGGTCATCCTATTATTCCAGCGCCCCTGGAGCAGTTTTTGGGATTAAGGGCCTTGCTCAAGGGTCCAAGAGTGATACGAGTGCTCTGCCAGCCAGCCACCGTGCAGCCCTTGCCCACTTCATGCCCTCGATGCCGGTGCAGACCCTCAGCTTACATCGATCACAGAAAACTGCAGATTCGCACTTGCAATGCAGTTTGCTGATTGTTGATCATGCTGAGCGTCAAAATTTTGAAATACCATAAACGGAAACCAACTTTTTTCTCTGTACAATTTGCTTTTTGAGTGGTGCCCCTTTTATGTAAAAAGTCACTAAACTGCCTTTCGCTGCAATATTTGCGGTCTTGCTTGCGAAACATGACTCTCCAAAGGTACGTCAAATGTTGCCACCTAGTGGGAAACACCGGTAGCCCTCTTGTCTTGCCCTGTTCATTAGCGGTACTGGTCCCTTTAGCAGCAGATGGCAGCATCAGCCCGGTTCTAATCTTCTCAAGGAAGCCTGATTTCCGCCAATCAGCAGTTCTGTTTTTATTTCTTTGAATGCGAGGGGAAAGGAGCCTTAGGTTTTCCATAGGTACGGATATGTAAACAAATTGAATTAATACTGTACTAAATATGAAATGCGACATCAGTGTTTTCTTTTAGCTTTTGTTACATTTCTACCTAAAAGTTAGTCAAAAGTCAAGCATACCTAATCCCATATTTTACATCTCTCTAAGGTCTTTATTTTGGAACAAAATCAGGTAGGCTCTTGTCATTACTTCATTAGCTCTCTTTTCTCTACTCTCTCTCTCTCCCTGCTTAGGGATGCTCTCTCCATATTTAACCGTGTAAGAAAGGAAGGGTAAGTCCTTACATACACGCACGCGCGTGCACGCACGCACACACATAAAGAAGTTTCCCCATCTACACAACCACACAAACACTCCCACATATAAACACTCCCTGGAACATGCTACTGCATAATCCCCTGGTAACACACACGCTCATTTCATTTCGATGCACATAGCGCAGCTCAACTCTGAAACTGGAGAACAACCAGAAAGGCCTAAGATGCACTTGGTATGCATTCTGGATTTAAATTATTACAGCGTGTCTTAGCATACACTTTGTATATCTGACGTAATGTAACATACATCATACATTCGGATTAAAGACACAGTAATGGCACATGGACTATTCCAGTGAAGATGCATGATCAAGCACCTCAGTGTGTGTGTTCGTGTGTGTGTGTATATATATATATTATATATATATAAGATGTAATACAGATGTACAGTGATCTCATAAATAAAATATATTGCCCTGGGGAGTAAGGTTCTGAAAACACAGATGGTTAATGCCTAGGGCAACCAGGCAAAGGGAAAGAGTCTCTCTGCAAAGGAAAAAGAAAACGGATTTCCTGCCATTTTTAACGCACAATCTCACAGTGCCACTGCAGGACCAAATGAACACAATCTCTCAAGTCAGGCTGTCTGCTCTAGCTAGAGACTGATTACACAACTTAGCTGCTATAAAGGTAGTATAATCCCCTTTGAATACGTACGTATTTCAAAAGAATTTTTAAATACTCAATAATGAATGATACCATAATAAATGAACATACAGTAAGATTCCTAAATAAAATATTCTTAAAATAAAGAATTAATGACTGAAGGCTACTTCTGCATTCTCATGTTTATGTTTAATTTTTCTTTAAGTTCCAGACCAGGTGCATAGCATGGGCCACAGATTAAAACCCATTGCACGGTTAAACGTCTAGTAAAATAATCAGTAACGTACGTAGCTCGTAATGTTAAATATACTAATGTACAACTTCTTAGCATATGGATATGCAACGGGAGAGTGATATAATGATTACCATGGTAAGTACTATAACTGTACAAGAACGGTAATAGTAATAATAAAAAAAACAGAAGCGCGCGCACACGCACTTTGAGCAACAAGCGCACGTCGCGCGATGGTCGGAGTTACGTCACATCCTCGGGCCAAGGAAATGTCAGGTGAGGTCGACTGGGACATTTTTATGCGTTGTGTTCCACCTACGCGTCCAGCAACTTTAATTTAGTTTTGGTAAAACAAAAGAGCACCGTTATTCGCTGCGATCGGCTGCTCCTGTCCTTTACAGTGTCCTATACGAGCCGGGTCCAGCATTAATGATTATGTTACATGCAGCCGAAACATCCACAATATGGCTTTTCTCTGTTCTGGGCATTATTAAAAGCATTGAATTCTCGTGTTACGGTACACGGCACAAAAAGTATTTTAATACACATATATATTCCCAGATCAGTTCAGTGGTAAACTGAGAATCTTTGCAATGATTGAATCATTCGCGGCTGGTTGCTGGTGATGCGCTTCACACTTAACTTTTACAGATTTTAACCTTGAACGTTAACAGTGCGTTTTTTTCGAATTACATTGGGATAGGAGGCTTATGGTCAGACGCCTCTGACTGGGTTTGTTCCTGGGTCAGAAGAGACTGGTGCCTGGATGTCCATCGATTTGCATGACATCCCGCCACCTTAACATACTGCTGCGGACTCAGTTCTGCTAACTGATGTTATTCGCGGTCGGCGATCTTCATCAGACGCAATAAATGGACATTTGGACTGTAGTCCGAGGGGCTGCTTCCCACTGTGTTACGTATGTATGGATTAACCTCAGCCTTTTGGTTTTACACCCCAGTCCTCCATTCTCCTTTTTCTTTCCTTTGTGGCTTTGCCTCCCTTTTCCTTCATTCCAATCTTTGTCCTGAAAAAAAAAACTGCCTAAGTATACCAGCCCGGTGGCCCCTCCCTCATATTTGTTTCACTTTCTACCCCCAAGCTGCTCTCGGCCATCCGCTCCCGCTTGTCTGTAGTCTGACAGGTGTGTAATTGGATGATTAATGATCGGCAGTGCAGCCCCCCAGCCCCCTGCAGGCCCTCACTCATGCAGGCATGCATTCATACTCTCGCACAAAGAATGGCCTACTGACAGACCCTCATGCACACACCCACACACCCACCCACGCACGCACACACACACACACACATACACAGACATATACTTATGTATTTATGGGGACTGTCCATTCATTTCTATGGGCATGAGGCTAATCCCAAGAATGATGACCTATAACCCTACCCAGCCCTAGCCTTAACGATAAGTAACCAAACAAAATACGAGACTTTTGGCATTTTTACTTTTTTGATTGCATTTACAGAATTGAATTTCCCCTTGTGGGGACTGAAAAGGTGGTCTGTACAACATCAAAATAACAGGTTTTTATCACATTGTGGGAATATTTGGTCCCCACAATGTAATATATACCTGGGCCACAGACACATACACACACACTTGCATACACGGTGCACACAAAGACCACCCCTATACAGACTGATCCCAAAATGATGCTTATTACTAACCCTGATTCGCATCTTTGGTGCGTAAATATATTAAAAGGCACATGGGTGACAGATTCTCTCACGTGTATCTCCGGAGTCTGTTGCCTTATGGGAAAATTCAGCTTATTTGGGGGCAGCAGGCATGTACAGTGACCCATCCACTCTGCTGATTTATCGGCCAAAATTCTACAAACGAATTAATGTAAACCATGGCGGGAGAATCGCAGGATGAAAGGAGAGGCGAAGTCTGCGCCAGGCTGACCGAGCCCACGGAGACGGGGGAAGCGGGCGTCTGCACCGTGCTCCGATCGCCTCGCCGGCACCCGGCATGCTTTGTGATCCTTCTGTTTTTCTCAGGAACTGAAGCAGAAGGTCTCGGAATGCCAAAAATTTTCCGTGGTCCTCCATTCATACAGCAGGAGCGCAGGCTGAGACCCTAACGCCCAGCATCTGTGTTACATCACACCTCTGAGCGCTACCAGCCTAATAAAAGATACAGCTGAATTATTTATCTGCTTTTCATACCCTGGCTGTCATTTACGTGTAACGAGTAACAGTCCCGGCTGCACTAGCGTGCACTAGCGTGCACTAGCTTGCATGATGCCATTATGCCGCATTTCCATATCACCCAACACTGTCAGAAAAATGTACCAGTTTGTACCTTTCAGGGCACAATTACTTGTCACTGGGGCTGTACCATCAAGCGTCAATTATACCCTAGTTGTAGATACATGTAGGTACAAGACCAGAAATGGACTTTCGCGCCATTCGGGGTACATTAATATTGTTTGTACCTTGGGGGAACTTTTTTTCTGTGCCTTTTTTTCTGACAGCGAGGGACAGTCACTGTGCCGACACTAAATCTTCTCTTCAGTGGCACTGCTTCGCAGTGCTACTGCATACATAGTAACACATTTACTGCATCTTTGCCCTGTGAACAACACTCTGCATAAAGCTTGGTGGAGTCCGTAGGTAATTTGATGCTTGTTGAGGCTGAGGTTGGTTTCTGTGCTAAGACAATATTTGAGAAGTGAGAAGCTGTAGTTACAGATGCTAAATGTACTGGAGTGACAGATGGCCTTGCTGACAGGAAGAGGAGTTAAAGGGGTGTCCCGGAGGGTCATCATTGAGGGTCAAAGACCCAAACCACTTCCTGTTGACCCCTGGACAAACTCTGACCTCTGCTGCAAGCTGCATCAATCACCTGAGCAGACTTGGGGGGGGGTAAAAGGGAACAGGGGTGGCATTGGTGGGGGGGGTTCGAGTGCAAAAGCTCAGATGTGGCTTGAGTTCATGTTTGACATTTAATGACTAATTATCCTGCCTCAAATTTGAATTTTACAGAGAGAGAGAGAGAGAATTGTGGGGCACTAGAAAGTCCCAAGAAAGAGTGGATGTGAATATTATGGACTAATAACAATGGAGTAAGAAGGAATGTAAAAATGTACATCGCTAAGTATGATCACAGAGAAATGAACATAATGCTCTAAATGGGAAATAACCTTTTATGAGACCCAGCCAGAATGAATTTCAGTACAGCATGAGTTGCGGTTGCAATTTTAATAGATTAATATATATGTTAATATATGCCCTTCAAAATATTCTACATTAAGCATTATAACCTATTATCTGTAAAATGTAGCATTGCATATGCAAGGAAGACATTAACTGTAACCGTGGATAGCTTTGAAGAGAGCAGTCCTGTTTATAGGGGAAAAAGAAATCAGGACAATATATTTGAAAAAGAGCATTTTAATGTCATAATCATTATTATAACTGTTAACATCATCTTCTAAGTCCTTTGTTAGAAGAACACGGTCTGGGCTACAGCAGCTCTGTTTGTGCTTTGAGAGTCTTTTTTTGCCGGCCTCGTTCCTTCAGAGTCGAGGCAGGAATGACCCCGCGACTCTACCGCAGTCGGGGGAGATTACGAGGCAGTTCTGTACAGAGGTGCACGTGCAGCGAGGGGCAGCAGCATAGATGCCTGTGTTACGGGAAAAGCCGTTTTAGACGCGCGTTGCATGGCTGGGTGGGGGGGGGGTGCTCTGGCGGTCACATTGACCCACGGGGGGAAGACGCGGTTGAAGGCCGCTGTGTGGCGCGGGCTGTGGGAACACCCTGGGAAGAGGCCCCCGCAGACACACCGGCTGGCTGGAAGTACTTTGAAAAGGGAAGTATTGACGCCGTGGAGGCTGAGGGAAATCCTTAGAATGTTTACAGACCACAAAGACTGCCATGTTAAAAAAAAAAAGAAACGTATAAAAACCTTCAAGTCGTTTCTCTGATACATATTTCTATTTACAGAAAATAATAAACAAAAAAGACATACGGAAATGTCGTACGGTCGCAGAATGAAGACAGGCATCCTTCGCCCATTCATGTGCTGCTTTGTGAGTTCAGGCCTCGGTCTCTGGCCTTTCTTGGGGGGGAGGGCGCCATTAGCCAGGCAGAGACGGTGCGGTTCGCCTTTTTAGGTGAGAGACGGCCCCTCTGCCCTCTTTCTCGTGGCGCCCTGCGCGTTCAGGGCCAACGCGAGTTTCAGCCGCTCGGCAAATCCAGGGGACGGCGCTTTGTGAGGGACCGGCAGCTGCATCTCGTCATCGGATGATTACCGCTGCTCCGGCGCGAAGCGGACAGGCCTCCCAGTGGCTGCAGCGGCGTGACCTTCGGAAGAGCGAGGGTGGAGAAGGTACCCAATGCGCGGGGGCGGGGCGGGGGGGGGGGCTTTTAGAAAATAATGGGTTCTTTGTGCCACTGGGCTAATTTGTGGGAGGAGAGGACAGGAAGAGAGGAGAGGAGTGTGTCTGAATCAAAGGCTGTGCTTTGTTTGATCTTGGCTTGTACATAATATTGATATTTGCTGCTTGGTGTTTATGACATTTATATATCTCCACATATAGCAGTGTTTTTGTTCTGACTGCCATAAATAAGTGAAGGTTTATATGTATAAGTATGGACTTGCAGGAGAGTCCTTGAAGGAATATCGCTGGATGTGTAAGCCGGACCGTGCTGATTGGCTGTAGGCGGTGACAGTGCCTCGGTGTGGGTGTGGCCTCCCTGTTCATGCCCCTCCCCCATCCCCAGTTAATGCGCATGTATATCCAGGCCCTGGCCTATGAGGGGCTCGGCAGGATGTGGGTGGGGGGGTGGATGCAGCAGCATGGCTGGGTGTGGGGGTGGGTACGGATGCAGGGAAGGGGGACCGTGGGAGTACCCTGGTTGGGGTAGGACAGGCCCAGGGTAGTCTGAGGATAAGGTGGTCATTCCTTGAAGTCCTGTTGAGAAATTCATGGGGGAAATAAATTGGGATTAATTCAGACAGGGTACATTCAGTTATTCATAGTGCAAAGTAAGTTGGCTTGGCATTGGTTTGGCAGAGCTGGTGGGGGCTGAGTGTCGAGTCACGTATTTGAAAATATATTAGGCTTCACAAATAGCCGATGGTCTTGGGACTTGGTGGGTTTGGCTTTGGGGCACAATGAACGGTATTTATAACAGACGTGCGACACTGTCTACCTCACCATTCCCAGTGCAGGGGACCCTCAGCGTGACTTGTGAGTTTGTAAATGAAGTGCAAATGAAGCATTTACAAAAGCACCGGCACGAACATGCCGCAGCCGTACCGTGCAGCGTCCTATTTAATAACCAGAGCGCTGCGGTTTATGTCCCCCCGCGCCCCCACCCCGGTCCCCTCCACTAATTAGCGCTTCATTATCTACAGTGTTTATACTAGAGTATTTCTTCAAAAGCACTGCTGTAAAAATGTGGTATCTAATGAATGCGGCACGCAGAGAGCGGAGACGCTCAGATATGTAAAATATCTCTGTGATCGCAATTTTACGTTCAGATTAACACTGCGATTAAGTCAACATTTGGAGTGGTTTGAGGAAACATGCATAGAAATGGAGCATCAAGAATTTAGCTAGCTGTACAAAATACACAATTAACAAATTGTGCCCCCGTCCCCAGTGACTAGCTAGCCTACACTACCTTATCTGCTGCGCCCTCCTATCTGTCATATAGCCTGACCAGTAGTAGTAGTCAGAATTGGTCTTAGAAGCAACTATATCTGTGTCGCTTGTATTTTTTGTATTTCTAGTACTGTCCTGTATCTCTCACCTGCAGTCCTGAGGCCCAAATGGGGCTGTCCTTCCAGTCCGTAGCCTCCCATCGCTGCTCCTTCTGGACTATAGGGGGCGCCTTGACCTTTGCCAGACAAAGAAAAGGTAACGTCCGGTACGCTGGTACACACAAGTCAGGGTTGACGGGTCATATCAAACGCAGCAAATTTTCCCCACCTGAGCGATTTGACTGGTCTATCATGGGCTGGACTATTCTGCGCCTTGCATTGATAAACCTAGAATAGAGATAATGGAAAGTTACACACAGGATATGTCATATGGTCACATGCTTAGGGAAAGTGATACTTCACCTGCTACTTCTCATCACATTAAATTTCCTTCCTGTCTACATAAAATTCCATTGCATGTATGTATCTGTCTATCTATCTGTCTGTCTGTCATCTGCATTATTGCAAGGACATATTAAATAAAAACAACAAAAGACTCTACTTTTGCTTCAGAGTGTGAACCAATCGTTGTGTATTGATCAATTCAGAGCAGAAGGTTGCTGCAAACTGCACCAACGGTGATTGTACTGACCAGTTGTTGACCTGCAGGATGGTAAGACCGGTGTCCTGGGAGAGCTGCTTTTTCTGCTCTTCGGAGGGGTACGGATGCTGGGAGAGGACAAAAAGAACCATGTCAGTATGTCGTACAGTATATTCTATACTCACTGGTCACACTCACGGGTTTAGAGTGTGAGGGGAAAATGCTGACAACGGGTGACTTCTGATGTCGGTACTGCTCGTCGTCTTTCACCGTCGAGCACACAACACGACCCGGCACCCATCAACACGCTAATGATGCAATTAAAATATACCTCCATCCTCAGCAAAGCACCATGGGAAATTACAATAGGAAAGTGCGTGCGGGATGCAGGCTGAGAGAAGCCGGGGGAAAACTGCTTAATCCGCATGCATCAGTAGCTGCGCGTGCGTCTGCGCAGTTCTCTCTGGTGGCACAGTGCTAAGGAACACATGGAGGAGATGAAACGCAGTGGTGAAAATTCTCTAATACACTTTACTGCTGGGCCTTAAGACAATGTATGCAGGGGCAAGAAAAAACCTCTCCCTATATTTCTCTCTTCTTCTTCTCCCCCACACCTTTTTCCCTCCTCCCTCTTTTCTCTTCTCTTCTCTCTCTCTCTCTCTCTCTCCCACTCTGGGGCGATGAGGCAGTACCTTCGGTAATTAGGATCCTTTCAGGAAGTCATTAAAACCGTTCCAATTATCTGCTAATTAACACATACTTGTTACAATTCCAGTCATGACTTAAGTGTTCAGTCCATTTCTCTGGTTTAGCAGTTCAGTTGAATTACTTCCAACGTGTTTTATTAACATGAAATCTGTACGTGTGTAAAATAGGTTAAAAAAAAAAAGCAGAAGATCTTTAAAGTACCTTCCTTAAGTATATATGAAAATAGAAATGGAGTCGACCAAAAGTTATATCAATTTAAAAACGGTAGCTTAATTCTCAGCATTAAAAATCTGCATTGATGGCAGCGTAGACACCATGAGGACAACATGACGCAAGAACAGTCCCCATACAAAGCAGCGGAATACAGGATTTATGAAGGACAGGTCCATCCATCTTTCATAACTACTAATCTGGTACAGTGTTGACAGACAGCAAAGGGCACAATGAAGGCAACGCCCCAGACAGGATGCCGGTTAAATTAAATATAAGAGAATAGATGTTCCCTCCTTCCTTCTGCACTGTGTATTTCCTGGATTAGACTGCATGCTCACCATGACCTGATGAGCAGTTTATATAGCTGCCTATCTCACCAGACCTGTAAGCCAATGAGTAAAGCAGGTTGTTTGTAGCCCCCCCCCCCTCCACCCCCAGGGCTAACTTTCAGGTTGTGAGTCTGTGTCCTTAATCGACCTGCCGTCTATGCGGTTTGACAAACGGTAGCAGCACTACTCATGTTTTTTAAATTCCTTGAATTCGGAGTCTAATATAGCACTGCAATGGTACAGGGTAGAGGGTACAGGGTAGTGTAGGTATAGAGAAGCAGTGCTGGGTACAGGGTAGTGTAGTTATAGAGAAGCAGTGCTGTAAAATATGTCCTCCTGCTACTTCTTCCATTCTACCCACTACTTCTTCCTCTGCTACTGTGCTTCCGACTCCATTGAATCTTGTCCAGTGTATGATCCCAACTGGTCAGAGAGCTGGTCATAAGCCCGTGTGGTGGTAGGTAGGTCATTAAGTGAGGAGTGTCTGTATTATATGCAGCTGTGGAAAAAAAGACGAGACCTCTCTATATTTTTACATTAATCTGCCTTTTTAAATCCTGTTTTTTCTCCTGGTTCTGCCTGCAGGAGGCTACGCTGAGCAGCAGGCTGCTTCCAAAAACAAGGTGAAGCAGGAGACACTGGGAAGGACCAGAAACCAGCCAGGTAAAGGGCAGAAGCGACTTTCTAATGCCAGAGATGACTGTTAACTTATCTGACAGTTTCTCATGAATGGGAAGATGACATCAAGTGACCTTCTAAAGGAATGGAAAACATTCAGTGCAGGTGTGAAGTGCACTGATATATCAGACTCCGGGAAGCAGGACTGAAGTCCCAAAAAGCAAGGAAGAAGCCCTTCATTAATGAGAAACAGCGAAGAACCAGGTTGCAGTTTGCAAAATATATATATATTATTCACAGACGCACACCCATAAATTCAAAAAATTGTGCTGTGGTCTCTTAATTTTTTCTGCCGCTGTATGTTAAATACGCGGAAATAGGGTGTGAATGGCACGTTTTCGTCACACTTTCAGTATCTGCTCTGTCTCATTGCTCACCGATAGATGCTGGAAGAGCCAAGCCCTCATGATGTTAGTGGCTACTTTGGGGAAGATCCCTCGCTTTTTGTTGTTCCTCCTGTCCCGGTCGGTCTCGTCCTCCTCACCCGTGCTGGGGGAGGCCACGGCGCCATCGAGACCGTCCCCTGCCGTCCGGGGAGACAAGCGGGGAGGTTTGTCACCACGGACACATGGTACGGAAGAGGGTCTGTGGAGTTTACTCTGCGGCCCATTAGTTACTCATGCATCTACATACCCAGCAAAACCCAACATTTCCAGTAATACGTGCAGACAGTCCCAGACAAAGTGTCACCTTAGATTCTCTGCCTAATTTTATCTTGTCAAATGCAGGCCCCCCTGAATCTGCCAGGATATTTATGCCCCTCCAGCACCCCTGATCACTGTTTGTAATAGAGCAGAGTCTGCATGCCTACATTACTGTGTATCTGTGAAACAAAAACACATTCATGTACATATTTAAATATCTTTTTCCTTGTTCTACATATTCATCTGTTCTATTTTTCAATGAAGTGACCAATTCATTCTTTAAAGAAATTCAGAGACCAAAAGCCCTGAGGCCCAGAAAAATACATCTCTGTACGATTACCAGTGGAATAATATAATTATCAGTAATGTCAAAGTGATTATTTAGTGCAGCTCAGTGCTGAGCAGTAAGGAAAGCAGTCTGCCTCTAGTGAGGCTTTCAGCATGAGGCGGCGAGGCTCTGCGAGGCGCACCGGCGTCGCTGCAGTCGGTGCCATGCGAGGGCATGCCGCAGGAGGAGGGGCCAGGGGTCCCCGAGGGGGTAGAAACGCAGTCCTCTGGGTCCCGCAGCCACGACTGGTTCTGGACAAAAGCAATGTGAGGAATGAATGAGGGTAGATCCGCACAGGGCCATGCCTGAAGCAGGCCTCTCACGTCAAGTTAGAGACATAATTCCTTACAAACTTTATAGTATATTACATAGTGTATATAATATACAGTGTATATATAGTATATTCTATATAGAATAATACTAGTAATACTCTCCTTTTTTGAAAACAAAAATCTTTAACAAAAGTATTTAACTTTTCAAAGAGAATTAATTCTTCAAGATTCCGCGCTTTTAGTACAGTACATCATCATACCTATAGAGGCTGCTTCGATCTGCGCCACCCTGTTTTTTCAGTGGGTTTTACTAGCATAGATATGGCTGTAACTCACCTGATCTGATAGACTGGTGCAGGAGCCAGTGAAATCCTCCATGTCTGACTTTGACCCGCCCTCCCGGTCATCCAGGACCAGGTCAGTGGGCATTTTACCCTTCAGACAGGTGATGTAACGGTGGCAGAAGTTGTCACAGAGGTCATGAACCTTAAAGTAAAACATCACAAAGAGGTTTATAAATGCTACGTGTGACAGGCAGGCCGTAGCCATTGAGGTCTGTTATTCCTGAGAACCGACCACGACAGGCAAGGGAAGGCTGGAGGGCAAAATGAGATGAAAGCCAGTTACCTTCTCAAGTTCCAGCAAGTGGAAGCGCAGAACCTGAATCGCCTGAATCATCTTGAATCAAGTGGAAAGAGAAGCGGAAAATTATAGTCGTGTTGCCCATGACAGTGTTTCCCAATCCGGTCCTCGGGAGCCCTCAGACAGTCCATGTTTTTGCTACATCAAAAGCGTGGACTGACTGGCAGGGAGCTCAAAAGGAGCAAAAACATGGACTGACTGTGGGCCCCCGAGGACCGGATTGGGAAACAATGGCCTATGATAATGACAAACCAGGATTTCCTTATACTTCAGAAGACGAGACTCTTGCACAGAGAGAGTACAAAGTGCTGCTTGAGTATTGAAACTGAAAGAAACTGAATATAACTAGGAAACCATGGTCTAAAAGCAAGATGGGATCAGAAAGTAGGAGAATGTGCGTGAAAGTGTGTGTCTTTGCCTATGCGTGTTGCATACCAAGTTGTCCAGTTCGGGGTTTGATGAAAAAATCGGCTTCTCTGAGCGAATCTGAGGAACGTGAAAAAAATCAGTGTTGCATTAGTGATTATGCCAGTATTTCCAATATTAATGACTGCCTAAAGTTATTTTAATATTTACAGTAGAGGGTCTGAGCAGAAAAACCATTCCTCTATGAAAGCAGAGAAGGACATGTGCGGGCACCTGCTTAGCAAAAGCGGCGATATCGTCGTTAAACGAGTCGGAGGAGCAGACGTCATTGTGGTTGGTGCCCCCGTGGAGGTGTGGCTGACTGGACGACGCGGTGGACTCCCGCGGAGAGCAGGTGGCCAGCTCACACTTCTCAAACACGAGTGCCAGCAGTGGAAACAGGGGGTGACTGAGAAGCGAGGAGATTGAAGAGTGAGTTTTAACTAACCAGCAGGCAGACGCATTGGCATATGCTGCGAGAAATACAGAGCGTAGATGTGAAGGGCAACCAAATTAGAATGTATAATACAAACAACATCTAAAAGCACATGCATGGACAGTAAAGGGATATCAAATCAATACTATGCATTGGCTTTGCAACACACACACACTCATTAATACACAATAGCCCACTGCGAAGTAAATTAGACTTGGATGATTGTACTGACCCATATATCTGGTCTCGGTGGTGTTTGAGGGAGTCTGCAGCAGGGTGGCCGTAGTGGGGGGGAGGAAGTGACCTCATGGTTTCTCTATACCCCCCCAGAAGCATGCCCTCTGACCCTGAGAACTGCACCAGGTCCTCATACTGAAAGAAAGAAGAGGTTTATAATTCTCGGAGAGAGGGAGACTGAAAGGCTTGAGTAAAGAGTAATGGAGGTCATGATTAATGCTGTTACTGGTGGAAGGAATGGCCATGATTATTTGAGACCAGTAACAAGCGCAGTATGAGCGATAACGAAAAGGAAGGCAGATGGAAAACTGTGCCAGGAGGAGCCCAGCGCCGCGCGTGGGGTCGTTAGCTGCAGATGAGTTTCTCTCCTCCTCGTTAATTACTGAAACTGGAGGCTCTTTGATGTGCAATTTTTCTGCACGCATCGCCTCACCGTTGCCGACAACCTCGCTGGGACCCACACCAGCATGTGCGCATAGCTGTCTGTAAACAATAATGAGCTCTACTCTCCAACATACTTTTGCACAAAAAAATACAAATACGCACACACATACACCCACACTCGCCATGCACTAGAAGCACCAATAGCAAAACAAACACGTGTCCATTTCTTCAAAATTCACGTACATTATAGGTACACTTCACTCATATAGTATATTGTATGATTATATACTTAGTTACATAGTATAATACAAGCGCAATTTTATATCAAATATTCATTTTCAATGATTTACGCGTCCACCTGCTCCAAGAAAGTGGCACGGCATCATAATTTTATCATTAACATGGCGTATTACAAGCAACGCCTGTTCCAGCGATTGTAACGTTCACTGTCCTCTCTTCAAAGGCGCGAGACAAACTCTGGAATTATTTTTCAAGATGCAGAATTGAGATTTATGGAAATAATATTAGTAAGTTAAATTCAAGAATCTCTCACAAACACCCAACTTTATCCTTGAGACAATTACAATACCAAAAATCCTGTTTTGGCTTGTGCTGGAAATGCGTATGAATCATGTTAATTTAAAATAAAACAGGTTATTTGCTTAAGCCTTAGGTCTGATTACTTTCGGGAAATTATTTTACCTGCACTTGCGGCCAGTGAGTGTTCTCGGTCATGGGATTGTTTTTGGAATGTAGTGTTTATGTTTTATTTTTTAATATTTTAAACTAAAGACGCGTTTACATTTTTTTAAGATTCTACATACCTTTTTGTTTTAATAACTCCAACAAAATCACGTGATTTTTCTTTTTCATGATTTCCACTAATTGAGTTTTAAATGTCGTCTTATTGTGGTTTAATTCAGCATTGAAACTTTAGAACTGGTTAACAAGAAATATGTTTCAACTGATACAAGCCAAACAACATATATTTCTGTTTAATTAAGATATATGCACACCGTTTTCTTACACCTCGAAAGGCGTTTACATTTATTTTCATTTCTATTAATCGTTTCAGTGACCTTCAAAAGTAAAATAATGTAAGGAAGTTAATATTACAACTGAAACAGACAAACTACGTAAACAACAGATTGTTCTTTAAAAGCAAACATAACTAACGTGTAATGCTCGAAAAGGTAAAGAACTTAAAGTATTATTTAAAAATCTATGTATATTATGACGAACGCCTGTGAAAAGCTTTCTGTCATGATTTTATTTATTCTCCAAATAGTTATAGACCATTTATTATATTGCGTTTATATGATTCAACTGTTAGGCCTACTCTTTATATTAAATAACACAACTGCACATATAATTCTAACAGCGTAAAAATGCCGTGCTTTAATAATCTACGTTTCAGTAGTGTGGCCCTGTTAAAGTTTCTCGTTAATGCTAATTTCCTAGCAGAGACGCCCGCGAACAAGGTATAAGTTTATCTTGTCATATTTCAAATATTCCAAAGAATGATCCCGTTTTAGCACTTAATAAATGAGACTTTGAAAAAGTTTAATGGGGGATTTTTTTGAAACATTTCATATCGGGATAGACAGGATAGTGGATAAGCAGCATGCTGAAAATTGTGTTTGTCTAGTGACACCTATGTCTTTAGGATTGAAGACATATACCGTGCAGGAAGAAGAAAGTGCGGGGTTATTATAAATTGCACTTTTAAAAGTTACACATTGTTACGTAATTCCAATGCTTCGTCACCACTGTTTTCGTGAGGTGTTCATGTGCGCTGGTGCATATGTTGCAGAAATACTTGGTAACATAATAAAAGACGGACAAAACAATAACATTTATGTAAATATAAACCAGTAGCCTATGTGTTTTATGATGAAACCGTTTTCAATCAGATAGGCCTACGTAGGCCACTTCAGATACTAGGCCTATATATTTTTATAGCTATGCTAAAGATGTAAAACGGCCAGTGTTTGTGTCTGAACTACCGAATATGTTAGCAGTCAACAATTTAAACAATAATTATTAACATAGTGTTTCCATATGTTTACAATTTAATTTAATCCATGATTCATCATTAAACGTTCCACATAAATTAACTTTAGAATGAGTTATATATTCATATAGGTTAGAGACAATCAAAGAAAAGACAGGGAGAGTTCTGTTTAATAAATATTTTTATGGCCTTAGATTTCACGGTAATTTTGTCCATCATATATAGAACAGGGCCATAAGGGGAGGGCAGCATCTTGCACTGCGCTTGGCTCCAGTCATTAACTCACTGTAGCAAGAAAGTTGACCTACTTACCGACTTCGTCTCCCTTTCGCTCTTCCGTCTGTCTTTCTCTCTATTCTTTTTCAACACAGATTCTCCGCTCCTAAACCCCCCTTTCTTGCTGACGATACTAGTCAGATAAAGCTTTTATTTTATACAGCCGTTTCGTACTTGTTCTAAAACAAGTTAATTCGCATGAATTACTTCGACTGATGTATCCCAGTTTATGGTTAGACGAACTCGTCATCTTCCTCCGCTGAATAAGTTTTGATGAACAAACGCAGTATATGCAGGCTACATCTGAGACTAATAAATGTTTATCAGGAGAATATTTAACGATTCTACTTTTAAATTTAAACTATAAAGGCATAGCCTACTGGCAACAATCATCAAGCAGCATTGGATTCACAGAAACTGTAATTGGAGTGGAAAGTTGCATTATTATTATTGTTATCATTATTGTTATGATTGTGTTTACTATTATAATAATATTAATAATAATAATATTAATAATAATAATAATAATAATAATAATAATATATATTTGTGAAGTTCCACCGTGCCCATAAATACACGACTTGTATTATAGTCGGATATTAACTAAGCTTCGGTGCAGCGTTTACAGTACAAGTAGCGATTCCCCCGGTGAAAGAACAGAGGGCAGTGAGTGGAGAGGCAATAGTGCCATGTCGTGGGGCCGAAATGGCACATAATAACAAGACGAACAAGACAGATGGAAAACAGTCCTAGATCTCTAGATATTTAATGCGCGCATTTTATGGTCATTATGATTGTAGTATCCCGCGGTAAAGTGTACAGAGATTGAGGGTAAGATAGTAATTATAATGATAACAGACAGCGAACCTACCCTTTTATCCATGCGACACGGAAGCCAATTCTACACCGGGGAAAACGAGATAGCAGAGCGGCTGTCCAGCGCAGGCGATTCTCCACTTGTATCCAGGTTATGCGATCAAAATAATGTGGTTTCGCGATGTGTAAAGATGGTCAGCTTTACAACGGATGCTCCGAAAGCTTTACCGCCGGTAATAAAGCTACGTCTGTATTTCAAATAAAGCTAGAGTATATACAGTTGTAGCAGAAAATAAATAACAATAGAAATAAATTATGTATAGACTATAATACACTTAGTAAAAAAGGATGCTGCCGTAATATAGTACTGTTGATATAAATACTACTACTATAGGCTACTAAACAGGATGAACTAAGATAGGTGTGTTTAAATGAAAAATAATTTAGGGAAAAAAAGAATTCTGTGGGAAAATAAGATTTTGTATCAGATTCCCAAAAAAGGGGGCATATCCTTGGAGCGTCGGCTCGGACTGTTAGATCGTGCTCGGGTATCCTACTCGGGCTGAGGCGGCGGTTCCTTGAGCGCAGCCGGGAACGCGGCGTGTCTCCGGCTTCGGCGGGCGAGCAGGATGTCGAGGAGCGTTTAGGGACTCCGTGCTTTTTGGCCGCTCCCGCTGTCCATCGACCGAGGCAGCTGGCTGGAATATGTCACTGCGCGAAATGAGCGATGGAGCTTTAAGGGGACGGTGAAGAGACGGAGGGTGTGATGAAGGTTGGGAGTTGTTTGCGAGGTCAAAACGCGGCGGGGTATTGCCACCCCCCCACCCAGCCTGGTCTTTTGACTTAGGCTCACGCATTACAAGCGCTCTCTCATTCATATCATTGGCACACTCCTTTACATACACACAAAAACACACACAAATAGGCGACTTAAACTGGTATTTGCACTTTGCAAAAGAAGATAAAAAAAACATCCGAAGTTGATTTAAAATGGTTTTGCTAGTCATGGGTTAGCTTGCTGTTTTGTCTTGCACATTTATTTGCTAATGTATAACCTATCACTTTTACTGAAAACACAGGCTCCAAAAATCATTTCCATTCTTTGGAAATCCAGATCCATTTTCTTAATCTCAGGTTTCAAGAAACTTACTGAACTCAATAATGATAGCCTATGCGGTGCGTGCCGCGATTATTTTCATGTTTATTCTATTAGGCTATAAAAACGTTGCCAGAACCGTGGCAAGTATTATCCCTGATTATCCCTTGTCTACAGGTAATCAGTTGAAACAACCTAGTAAATTTATTGCCCTGCTTTGTACTGTTTAGTAGACATAAATAGAATACAGGCTAACCGTTTTCCCTGTCAAAGATTTTTAAATAAAAGTCTCAAAATTCTAATATACAGCCTATTTAAACATCAATCAAAAGTTTTGATTCAAAACGTTATACCTTGTTATATTTTTCGCTATAAATTGTTACCCTCTGGCAGGTTTTAAGACCACGTTGTCGCTATTGTTCTAACCTTTTAACGTTTTATGACGGTTTTAGGCCTAATTGTGCGTAATAATGACTTTTGTCCATAAGTTTGCAACTAAATTTTTTTTTATTCGTATAGGAATAAAAAAAGAAAGAAAACAGCGACGACGGCCATGGCTCGTCTTGTGTTGTAAATTACACTTAAGTAACATAATAATTATAACGAGCGCTCCCCGTACGCGCAGCCCCCTCCCCCCCCGCAGCGAGCTTTCACCGGGCGGCCAGAACTTCAATCGGCGCTACATCGGCGGGCACATTGGGCCGGAGCTGCGGCGCGGCGGGGGGCGGAGAGAGTGACAGAGGCGCAGCAAGCCGGCGCTGTAACATCAACCAAACTGTGGCCTTTAAACGCCGCGGGAGGGTCACTGTTAATTGGCACGATTACAACTAAAGAAGCCTTTAACAGCGACGCGATAACGTCAATGAAACATATGAATGGAGTCATTGACTTTGTTTATTGTTTAATGTATTATTTCCCAGTCCGCCATAGTTAGATATACTGATAAAATCTCGATTACTGACGTACCGTAAGGCGTATCGTAGTTGTTGCTGAATATTACTATTATTTACAAAAACGGAATCGAGTGTTTTTTTAATATACGTTTTGTTTTTATTGCGCATCGTTTCATTTGCAAGCAGGGGCAATTGTTGATGTTTGCATTTCTGTGTGTGATTTTGGTTTTGGTTTCTTGACGGTTTAAATGCACTCGTGCGCCTGAGTGAGTTTGTGCATGATTAACCATTTTTGTGCCTCTTTTCTCTCGTGTGTGTCTTAGTCTTTGCACGTGATAGTGAATGAAACAACTGTGCGCGTGTGTCTGCAGCGGTGTCAGGGGCCAGTGCAGGCTGTGTCTGACCCAACAGGGCAGGGGACCAACAATGCGAAAGAGGAAATGCGGCTTTGGGTGGCTGCAGAGCACAGTTTAATGGGAACCGGGAAAACAGGAGTGACAAAATGCTTTATGTAAAGGCTCTGACTGTATTTTCCTTCTACTTCCCCATTAATCATTTTGTGGAATTTAACTATCTACTTATAACGATAATAAATGGTCTATTAGTAGTACCATTTTAATTAATATTCCTTTCCATGTAATTAGTGCTATTGTCCATATCATTCTACTGTTGCTGTAAAAGCCAAAACAATGGGGTCTTGTATAAAACATACTGTGATGTCGTAGTTACATATATGGTATCCGAGTTTGTGTTTTCCAACTTACTAGTGATCTAAAAGAATTGGCTGAAGCAGTATATTTAATTTTAAAGAATTTTGGTATATGGAAGTTGGTGCACATATGTTGTGGATATGACTTCTATAGCACATATACTGCGAAAGTTTAAAATGGAGCCACGGAAGAACGCTCGCCGAATGAGAAAGGAAGCTGAGGACCTTTGCATTTTGACCTTAGATTTCAAACTCTGTTCTGAAAGGATATGGCCTTTCCTCTTCACCCTGGTACGTTGCTCTCAAATAAAGTTCTGAAGTAATCAGATCCATATAAACATCCACATCGTTTGTCCAAGACAGGGTCATCAACCCCAGTAAGTCAATTGCCGATGTCATTTATAGACCTATTGGTTGTATTTAAATACAAATGTGCTGTTTTCTTTCCACTAAAGGAAATGCATTTTAAATTATGTACTTTCAAAGTGCCATTTTAAAAGATATGTCAAACAGAGGAAGTAGATTCTTATGTTTCTGAAGGTAACTGATGATCTTATATGTCAACAAGGTAGTAATATCCAGTGGCAGTGACGGAATATGAAAGGATGCTGCGGTTCTGAAAAGACATTAAGTCAGCGATGATATAAGGCCGTTATAAGTTAAACTTGATGATTCCGTTTAAGTACATTCACTCCTCACACCATGCAGTTTTATATTGCTTTTAGTGACTTTTAGAGGATAGTCAATTCCATGTTTCCATTTATGGGCTGGCAATGGTGATATGATCCTGGATGCTCCTCTGAAGGGCAAATCTTCCCCGTGTGTTCTTGGAGTTCGCAGATTAACTGATCTAAGGCCAATAGTGAGGTCAGCTTACAAAACAAAACCCTGTTATGAAATGCATAGCGCTTGAAAACCACATGGGCAGGAATTTTGTTTATAGGGTGGTCTGTATATTTATAATAGCACGAGTTATATATATATGCATATATACTGTATATATAGCTTTGATGCATCTTGAATGTGTTTCTATTTATGAGTATTTAAATGTACTGAAATGACATGCTACTAATTTCAAAAATATATTGGTTTGAGGTCTGCGTTTTGTCACATTGTGCTGCGCTGTGAAATATTACGACATTTCGTTCATTTGCTTGTAACCCTTGTTTTCCACATTTTCATGGATCGCATTATGAATTATGGCGGCATACAGGTGATTTCCCTTCGCCTAACAGTTCATAGCCAGCTTCTCCCATGCGCTTATACCAAGTCAGCATGGATTAGTGTTTCAGCATCCTGGCACGATCCTGTTTGAGTAACATGGCAGAGATATTTCTGTGACAGAGCTTCCTTCCTTGTAATTGTCATTTGTAGAGATGCATGACCTGGCTGGGGAGCGAACACCCAGGGGATTGTGGGAAAAGCTGCGGTGGCCATCCACCCTCGGCACCGTGGGCCGCTGCGCTGGTTGACTCCAGTAAAATGAGCAAAGCTGCCCATGACCCTGAGCTGCCAGTCCGGCAGGGAGAGCAGGGCGGTGGGTCAATTCAAAGAGCAGCCAAGCCAAAAAGGGCTGGGGGGGGGGCTGCTTTTTTATGAGCGTGTGCCTCTCTCCACTTTCTGGGCCGTCTGGCTGGCCTCTCGTAAATCTCCCTGTGCCACACTCCCTCTCATCTCTGTCCATATTTCTCTGGCTGCTGCACTACCAATCGATCACCAAATTCTTGCCTGGTTTGTAACGTATCTTCTGTCCATATGTCTGTTGTCTCTCGAAATCCCTTCCCTTCTGTTTACCGCCCCCACGCCCCCCCCCCCCCAAAAAAAAACACCTTTCTTCCCCAGCCCAGTTGTTTCCCCTACCCACTTTTTGCTCCTCACTTTTACAGGGCGCCCGTCTCTCTCGCCTTATTACCGCCGGCTCTCGCACCTCTCTTCTCCTCCGCTTTCCTGTTTTCCCCTGGTTTTCCACTCGCCATCTCCTTACTGATGGAGATTAACTTTTAGCTGAGGCACCATTAGTTTCCCTGACTGTTTGTTATTAAGTAGATGGATGAAGGCTCACCATGCCAGGCAGACGCCTCGCAATTACAGAGAGTCCAGTGATAGATAGAGGGAGAGAAAGAGGGAGCGAGGGTGGAGAGAAGGAGAGAGAGGGGGCATCTATCAAACCCCTTAATCTAACTGTCACTACCGGGGAGATGGGGATAGAGGGAGCTGAGGACAGCTCACGTCTGGCCTCACGGCTTAAAGGGACTCTGTGCCCGATCTCAGGCTATCCACTTAACGTGTTCATTGAAATGATGAGCATATTTACATCACGGGTCCCCGTAATGTTACCCAAAGGACCATACACACAGTCTATGTGGTGGATATACAGTATACGCTTCCAGAGATCTGTTTGTGGCGAGCGTATTGTCAGTGCCTGTTTGTTTGCCGTTTACCCGTTTAAGAAGAAAAATAACGACGATTCAGGTGTTTCACCACCGACAAGAAAATTATTTATCACTGCAGAATTACGTAATTACACATCGTTGTCGATGTCAATGTTTTTTGTCACTAACAGAAAACTTAGATTAGAAACCTTTAATAACATTTCTAGCCAGTGGTACTTTACTTTAAGTCATAGACTCCACAAAATTCATGGATAGAAATTTCTGGGTAGAATTTTTTAAATGCTGTATGGATGTGTTTTTCACATCTCCGTCCAAAAAAGGGGGTGAATTAGCAGAACACAGTAAATTGTGTGGTTGTTAACGAATTAGCGTCCTGCCCGGCACAATCACAGCGCTGCTTTTCCAGCGAGCACAGACCCCGAAGCCGTGGATGCATTACCGTCTCACAGATACCATGTAAGAAAGCAATTCCAGGCTGTCTTTTATCCAACCACCTCTCCGCCCTGAAACCTCCCCCATCCGTCCCGTGGAGTGAGTGATGGGCTGGAGGGATTAATACTTCTTCGCTGACCACAGGAATGATGTATGGAAAGGTGTAGAGAGGGGGATGCAGAGACAGTAAAAAAAAAGAAAAAACACAGAGAAAATCAATCTA